CGAGGGCAGACAACCCTTTTCCTCAGGGCTTAAACCAGCGGGATATGGACCGCGAACAGTGAGGAATAGGTCTTGTATGGGATGGGAGATACTTGCCGCCCGCATTTTCTTACTTTGGGAAATTTACTCTCACACATGTAAGATCTACTCCCATATCACTGTTTTGAGTCCATACTCTCCACCCCACTGTTTTCAGCCCTGAGGAATGGGGTTGTGTCTGGCCCCAAAACACATTGGCTATGTGATCAATACAACCTTTAAACTTTTTATGGACCCTGACATCTGATCAGTTTGAAGCTCTACTTTTCTTTTTTGTCCAATATCTGAGTCTTCTTAGGTTAGCAGATGTTTAGCTTAGAGTACATTAGGTGCATAGGGAATGGGAGCTGAGAACGTTTTATCTAAACCTGAACTTGTCCTTTAAATGTGTATCTTGTCAGGAACCTGAAGGGGTAGGGTTGAAACAATTTGAGACAATTTAAAATATGTGCCCAAATTCCTGGACACACTGGATTTACACGATCAGATCTGAAATATAAGGGGCCTATTAAAAAAGGGTTAAAATTCACCTATAATTTGACTAATTATACCACATATTCCCCATCATTATATTTTATCACAAGAAGACAATGTGGGAAGATTTCCATCATTTAGATCTGTTCCTGATTCCATGTTAAATGTGGTTTTCAAAACCATTACCAGCATGGATTTATAAATCAGCCGACCAATGTAGTTTTCTTTAACCTCTGGCACTTCCACACAGCCCTCACTGCTCCCTGTCTTCCCCCTCCTGGCCCACCACAGTGTCTGACTGCTGCCTGTTAAGCCTCCAGCACTCTGTGAGTGACAGAGGGGGGAAAATCCTGAGCCTGTGCCAAACATCAGAACACACTGCTGTCATTGATCATGTACAGGGACTCTCTCACACATCTTCAGGCTTTGTGGGCTTTACAGGCAGAAGCCAGTCGCCTTGGGGACGTCAGGGTCAGTACACAGCCTACTGCAGAAAGTCTCTCACACACCTAAACGTGTCAGAAGGTAAAGAAAACTACAGGGATATTAATAGGAGAACACATAGGGGGGATTTGTAAAAACTGGAGCAGTTGCCCATAGTAACCATCAGCTTCTCTCTTCAGTTTGTGCAGTTAAGATTTGAAAATGAAAGATAGAAGCTAGTTGGTTATCACAGGCGACTGTTCCAGATTCTTGGTAATCAAAGATGTCCCCTGCATACCATACAGCAATAAGGACCTGTTTTTCAGTAGTGGTGGTTCTCATAGTGATGTCCACGAATGTCACCGTACATATACAAGGTTAACAGCAGTGAAGATCTCTAGCAACCCCAGATGAAATAAATCCTAGTGCTCTTTTATTGAAGAGATATGTCACATATATCACATAGCCAACGTTTCAGAACCACGCAGGGTCCCTTCATCGGGGTGAGCATAGTGACCTAAGCTCGTCCTGATGAAGGGACCCTGCGTGGTTCCGAAACATTGGCTATGCGATATACAGTATGCGACATGTTTCTTCAATAAAAGAACACTAAGGGGTCTATTCACAAAGCTGCCGCAGGCAGCCGAGTGAATAACCAACCCAAAGTGAACCGAACGCTGTTCGGCTATTCACTTCAGGCTTGTACGTTTAGGCTCCCGTCAGAATAAAAAAAAACAACAGCATGGGGATGCATAGCTACATTCCTATTGGCTATTTCAATTTGCAATAGCCAATAGCAAACTAGCTATTGCACCCGCCCTCTGCTGCTGTCAATCACTAGAAGGGGACCTGATGGAGAACTTCAGGTCCTCACTGCTGATTGACAGCAGCAGTGGTCGTGTGCAATAGCTAGTTTGCTATTGGCTATTGCAAATTGAAATAGCCAATAGGAAGGTAGCTATGCATTCCTATGCTGCTTTTTTTCTTTAAATTATTCTGACGGGAGGCAGCGGCTCCGTTGTCAGAAGAAAAAAAAAAGACAACAGAGCAGGGAAAGGTTTACTCTGCTCGAGTAAAGCTTTCCGGGAGAAAGTGTTTCTCTCCCGGCCGGCCGGGAACCGCTATCTAGTAGCGGGAGACTCCCGGAGCGTCCGGGAGAGTTGGGCTGTCTGGAGATCAGCGTCCCTGGTTACCTGGTAACCAGGGACGCTGATCTGCCTGTGTAAGTGGCCGGAGCCAGCCGTGAGATGACGGTTAGCTCCGCCCAGCCGTCAGTAGCCAATGGCCGGCCGTTCGCCAGCTTCGACTTTCACCTGGCCAACTTCGGGAGCTGTACGGGCTATAGTGAATAGCCTGTACAGCAGCTGTACAATGAACCGAAGGGGTCCCTCATAATGAATTGCTGTAGCAAGGGCTCCATCAGAAAGTGCTAATTTCATACATTTTATATATGTGGGCAGCCTGAAAAGTGTAACTTGGTAACAGTGTCTCTTTAACCCTCCCTTATCTAAAGAGCCTGTGGACGATAGCATGCTGACCATGCAGCACTAGGGTCTTGGTGCCGTCAAAATACTTTGATAAGTATGTTCATAGACTATTAAAGTTATTGCAGTGGGTACTAGCAAAAGTGAAGACGTAAGAACATACTAGTGACTATTAAATAAAGGCAATTTCGCATTAAAAAATGCATTGATGCTTGTGTCTTCTGGGTAACTCTTACCCTTTTGTGTTTTCTGTTACGTGTGCGTTTAGATAAATAAGGAAAGTTTCTTTCTTTCATACTGGCCTACCACTGGTTTTGGTAATGTGGGGATTAGGTACCTTCATCAGTTCCTTCTCCCCTACCTTTTTGTTTATTGCAGTTGACAATGTTGTAGATCTGTTGTGATGATATTTTCTATGTTTTGATGTATTGGATGGGCTTTTATGGGCTGCTTGTGTTCTTTCCATATAAATAAAGAATTTGCGTTAATTGTATTTTTACACGGGCATGCCACTAGGAAAATACAAAGGCTGGGGGGTTTGATGAGAGGAAACATTAGTTGAATTTGTAGCATATACATGGGAGCTTATGTGTAGGCCCGCATTATCACTTGTGAGCACTAGATGGCACTATTGCCATTTCTCTTTTTACTGGTTTTGTTTCTGTGTCTGCAAATTGCATAATGGTAAAATGACATGTAAAATGACACTAAGTTGTTTCAACTAATACAACGTTTTAGCAAGAAAAACTGCAGCAAGATAATGTATTTGTGTTGTTATTTGTTTTTTTCCCCAGACATTTCCTATAGACTGATATATGCAGTGCAATATAAAGGTGGTTCATATCCAGAGTTCCATATAAAGAAACAGGGTACAAATACCAAATTATTTTGTTTTGAATTTAAAAAATAATCCTTTTTATAAGAGAAAGACAATAGGATACTGTCTGTAAGTTGATGGGGATTTATGTTCTCCCTCTGCTGCCAACAGCTACAGATCACAGGCAGTCTCACACTGGGTGGGAGGTATGACTGCAGTGCAGTTTTGCTGGTAATAGGCATTTCATCTGTGTTGCCCTAATTCCCTTAATAAAAAGGAGCCGCACTAGATGATGTGTATTTGCTTCAGCCATGTCTGTCTCCTTCACCTGACACAAACGAGATGGAGATTACAGACTAAATCTCAGTACAGGCTAAGTGGACTTTTGGTCCCCCAGGGTCACTATACCGTGCTCAAAGCATATGTCATTAGCTAATCGTTAGGCGAAGGTTTTAGAAGCATTTACACATCAAATGCAAGGCAACAAAGCCAGCAGCTGCTCCCATAAAAGGCTAGCATACAGAGGCAGACCAAACACAGTAGGCAAGTTGGGATGTGTAAGGTTGACCATAGATCTCAGATGATGGTAAACCATTGAAGCACACTCTGACATTTGTGAATTGATTTATTTGAATAGATACAGGTAGGAGCAGACAAAATGTCTGCTTGTGCCCTACACATGAGGCCATTGCTTGATCTATCCAAAAAATGGCTGTATATAGCTATTTGCAAACATCATTCCCTACTCATAGCAGTAGCTTCACAGTAGTAGATGCACATGCTAACTGGTTGCCTGAGGGTCAATGAACTTAAGCTGGGTATGCATGGTCCTATTTTTATCGTTCAACCCACGGGCTTTATGAAAAAAAGAAAACAGATTCCACCATCAACGAGCGTTGATTGAGGAATCCCCAGCTGTTTCCTTTGGCCACTGTCAGAATACCCAAATGGAGCTAGTAGCTGATTGCCTGCTAGCTCCATTTAGCAGAGAATTTTCCAGCCGGCTCCTTCGATCAGTTGATCAAGCGATGCTGGGTGGAATGGTGCTGACATCGGCACCCATGCAGCAAATATCGTCCTATTCATCAAGAAGCAGGCGAAATTCGAAGCATGTACCCCTACTTCAAGAAACCTCACAGCATACAAAGCCCAGAAGCACATCTGCAAAATGGGTTTAACCAGTTTTTTCCAACATCACAAACACAAAGCTTTAAAGGCGTGATACTGGAACTAATGTGATAATCCCACATGGCAGATGTCACCTTGGACTATGTAATTTGATTGGCTGATGCTCATCTGATGTACGTGTCTTGTAAACTTGTGTGTGTGCCTAACATTTTTAGCATTTTGTATTGCTGTCAGTTAAAGCAAATGCTCCCTGACCCCTAATATTGCCTTCTCCCTTCAAGATTGGACTGCTGGTTACTATATACAGTATATTGATTTTTATATTGTGATTAAATACAAAACAACACTCAGGTACAAGAAGGAATCACTTGCGTGCTTGAATAAATCCTTTCTCCTCAGCTGGAGGTCATTGGGTTGTCTTTTCTTTTCCCTTTTATCGGTCTCACATATGGAATAGTTTTACAGATAAGCCTGTGCAGATAACCCGATATCCTTTTTATATATCTTATCTTCTATGCACTCCAACAGGTACTCAATGTATTTGAGATAATACAGCCCAGCGGTTGAACCTAGACATTTTATCAGAGAAATATAGAGCAAGTGACATCTTTAAATATATAGAGCAAGCTTCTTACCGGGAAAGAGGTCAGTACATCTCATAAAGATTTCCCAGTATATCAGGCCCAGTGAATACATGTCCACTTGTTTCAAAGCAGACTCACAATCTCTAAGATTCACTGCTCCTTCCAAGACTTCAGGAGCCATGTAACGGATGGTGCCAACCTGCGGATACACATCAGAGCAGTTTATGTACTGTATGAAAATGAATGGATTGAAACGTACTAAAACCTTTGTAAATACCTCAATGACATCAGACCATATTTAAGGATGACTTATACATTTGATGTCACCATTTTGAAAAATGCTTCACTTTGTTGAACCACTGTTTTAACACATCATCCCCAAAGTTCTAACTTCAAAATGTAGCTCTATTTCTCTAGCAGAACATTTAAAAAGTATGCCCGATTCTGGCCAGAATGAACTGCCTTGCATTGCGGCCCGGCTCACTTTTTAGTGGAGCAGGAGGGGGCGGGCCATTGAAGTGAATAGCACCGTAGCCACGCCCTCCGGCCGCAATGCGATCACCCGCACGGGATCGCAGGGCACATTATGCCTGTGGTCCGGTCCCATCAAAATGCTGCAAGCACTATTTTGATCGGACCGCAGGCACAATGTGCTTGAGAAAGAGGCACCGGCCTCGAAACGCGTAGCCATTGGACAGCTCCCGCCCAGCCCCTCACTGACGTCACACTACCATTCAACGCCGCGTCACACTCACAGCGAGACACAGTGAGTCGCGGCTGGAGAGACTTAGCGGTTTTCCCCCGCCTGACTCTTACAGAGCCTGGGGGACGCCTGATAGGCGTCCCCCTGGATAGGGTAACGCCTCTCCTACTAACCACCAACGAATCAGCAAATAGTGAGTCACTCCATTCATCCTTTTTATCTACTTGTGTGTCACCATATCCAATTGTGTTCAATATACATGCATAATTGTGTATATATTTAAACTAAATAGGGCCGTAGCGCTTCCTTATCCAGTTTCTTTTTTCACTTAGAAAAGTGATGTTTACTGGGTCTGCAATGAATAACAAAAACTATCGACCTCCAAAACAATATTTAGAATCTCACCTGGGATGGGACTAAGGGTCACCATACATGTTACAGATTGACCATATAAACGTTGTACAATCAACTTTTGGTTTACCAAAACTATGTAATATGAGCCTCTATTTAATCTATAATTAGATTAAACATATCTAATCTAATCAATAAATCTGCACCCGATCAGGCAGGCCCTTGCACTCCATAGTTGATGACAGATCTAATAGAAATTGTACAAATTGTAAGTTGTGTGGTGAGCGTTACATTAGCATATTAGAGATGATAATACACTGCTTGTTAATTTAATTCAGAATCATCTCTGTATCTAAGTCTCCAAGTATGATTCCTCCCCTGCCCTTATCCTGAACCTTTCTGACGAGCAAAGTTTTTACATTCAGGGTGTATATATATAAAGTTTGCAGAGCCATTTGTTCTGCGAAACTGACATTTACATTCATTATGTGCGAATAGGGCAAAATCAAATTTTCTTCTGCAGAACAAATGTAATATCAGGAAAATTCCACATTATGGTCACTAGATGGAGCCGAGGAGCATAAGAAATAAATACATATTTCCTATGCTCCTCGGCTCCAACTAGTGGTCATAGTAGGCCTACACTCTGCACATAAAACATCTGCAAGGGTTAAGTGGTCCTTTTTGTCCAGGGACAAAAGGGTATTATTACAACTGGGGAACAACATTTAACAGCATTATTTCCCATGATGCAAATCTCTGAACACCACATGATACATGTGTTTTTGTGTATGTATTACTCCTTTATGATCATGGTGAATGTGTGTTAACTAACAAAAATGCTACACATTCTTTTTTTTTAAACCAACAGTGAGCTACGGTGCATAGGTACAAAGTTGTCATACACCAATGAATGGGATTTCTACTAGAAATGGATTTTCATGCTGTAAAATGGACAAGTATGAATGGCCCCAAAGAGATATTTTTTTGTGCTCGTGTGGGAGGTCATCTTTAATTGGGGGGGATTTATCAACACTGGAGCAGACAGAATCTGGAGCAGTTGCCAATAGTAACCAATCAGCTTCACTCTTCAGTTTGTTCAGTTAAGCTTTGAAAATGAAAGATAGAAGTTGATTGGTTAGTATGGGCAACTGCTCCAGATTCTGTCTGCTCCAGTTGTGATAAATTCCCCTCATAATGTTTCTTCTAAATGCATGGAAATGGAAACTTTGATGCAAGTAAATGCTTCACTTTTTTGAATATGTATATACAGTACTTACCTCACTTATAGCTGCATTATCTTCATCTCCTGGCCTCACCAGCCGGTTTCCTGTAAGTCGCATGGACAAGCCAAAGTCGCTGATGACACAAGTGCCATCGGTCTTCACTAGCACGTTACGGCTGTTCAGGTCACGATGTGAAATTGCCGGTTTGTATTGATCTGATTAAAAGCAGATTAGAAACCCAGTTCATGTATACACTACTTTTAAAGTCTGTGTGTGGTAACTAAAAGGATGTTCAACAGTATTCACAAATAAGTAGACATGATTATGTAAATCAGTGGTTCTCAACCTGTGCAACCTCAGGACCCACATTTGCCCATGGTCATTAAGTCGTGACCTAAGTCACACTGCAATGGAACGCACAACAGTGCGGGTTGCTGTGCTGTGATGGAGCTCCATCCATATGTGCATTGCTTGTACAGCTCCCATGCGTGCCTGTAGAGGTTCCGGGAGCCAGAATGTGATGTCACTCTGGTCCAGGTACCTCTACAGGACATGCAAGGAAGCTGTAAGCAATGCATGTATGGATGGAGCTCCCACACTGCCATACTCCCAGCCCACCTCAAGTCAACACTTGGCACCGGTCAGCATATTTTGAATAGCTGCTCGGTGTGAGAATGAACAGTGCTGTGCTAGGGGGAGGCTGGGGATCCTCTCACCTAGAAAAGTGGAAGCCATGCGGTGACCCACTGAACATGGGGTCGCGACCCACTTGTGGGTCACGACCCACCAGTTGAGAACCAAGGCTGTAAATTATACATAAATGATATCAGAATAAAATATGCTATGGAAAATGATTGATAGATTTGATGTGAGCTGGGATAAATTGTTTTACACTTCTCCTGTAGTTAATGCGTATCTAAACCTTAAACCAGAAATGTAATATATTTCAGCTTAACAGATGTTATAACTACATTAGTTTCCCTTTTCAGTTTTTTTCGGTCTATTTTCACCTGGTGATCCTGCGAGGCAACACACTTCCTTTCCTAGGTTGACAATGCTCACTGTACTGTATTTATAGAAGCAGTGTTGTCACCCTAGGTTTGCTATCCTGATTTGCACTTAGGGTTGCCACCTTTTCTTCCAGTGAAACCCGAACACTCTGGTGATGCACGGACATTTTTGGGGAGAATGAGTCGCGGCTTATTCATATGTAAATAGCGCCACCCACTAATATGTAAATATCACAGTGGAGACTATTTTCAGTGTGGGGCCAATAGCCCTTATCTTAATTTTGGTTGCCCCTGTCTGCCTGACCTCTTTTGTCCGGGATTCAGCTGCCATGAAACCTGGATACAGCATTAAAAATCCGGACTGTCTGGGTGAATCCTGGACACGTTGGCAACCCTATTTGCACTACAAACACCTCCAAATCATCCACATTTTTATGATCACACTAAATACAAAGATTTGTCGATTAGCCACTAGAGATAGCTCTTGTTCGCTCAGTGCAATCGCTGTCTATCTGTTAAAGGAGAACTATGAGATGAGTGATTTCCACTCTCCTCATAGTTCTAGCCGACCTGTGACAATGAGACTGTCAAAGGTCGGCTCAGTAGATCGGGAGGTGAGCGAACACATACCAGGTTCACTCACCTCTCGATCCTGTCACGGCTCTCTGCCGTGACAGGGGGAGGGCTGGATTCCCCTCTCCCCGCTCCGATCTGCCAGCGCTGACTGGCGGAATGGACGGGGGAGGGGGCAGGTACAGTTGGCTCTGCCTCTAGATAGGCAGAGCCAGCTGTCACTCACGCAGCTGGGCGGATCCCGTCATCTACGTCGGGATCTGCTCCGGCTGCGGCGTATCAGTATACCGCGAGCTGTAGCTCGCGGTATACTGAGCTTAGGGTAACGGGAGGACGCTAGTTTGTGTCCTCCCGTTACCCTAAGGAGAACTATGGGGAAAAACCACTGACCCCATAGTTCTCCTTTAACAACTGTACAGTAACATACAGTAGGGAGTGTGTTGTTTTCAGCCATCTTTTACATCTGTATTGTGAGAAGCAACAATACTGCAATGCAATATGCACAACTACTGTGCAAAACAAAAGGCAAAACTTGCATAATTATTGAGCAAATATGTCCTTCCCCATGAAAATATAACATAGAAGTTACATATAGAAACAAAGCTTTCAAACATGAATACACCAAGGTCTCTTTATTTCATGTATAAACACTGAATAGACTTAACATTGGTTTCACTCCCTTTGTGAAATAAATGCCAGCTTTGTTGTGAATGATTTAACTAGAAATTGTTATGACCTGAAAAAAAGCCAGCCTGCTAGTATTATTACTATCATTATTGGTACTGTACCTCCGCGCAGCAGCTCTGTGTGTAGGTATGCCAATCCTTTGGTTACTGAATGTGCCAAGCGGCAGGAGTTGAGCCAGTCATTGGTATGCACACTTAAATACTTGCATAGGGATCCCTGCAGGCATAAGCAACTATCGTTAAGTATGGACATCTCTTAAATCAACATAAATGCAGTTTCAGCAATCATCATCATACCACACCATAAAAATATAATAACTACTGAGGTTACATTAGAACAAGCAACCTAGAAAGCTTAGTATATAGATCAAATATTTCCTTCTGCTTTTAATCGCAACACAAATATGCTCCATTGACTGTGAATGATCATCACAACAATACTAAGGTTTGCACTGTGCTCTCCTCCTCTTGTAGTTCTAAACACTTCCTCCTCTGTCCCAGAGTGCACGGAAAATGGTGGTATGACAACACTGTGCAAAGAAAGAATAGTGTTGTTGCCACTGCATCCATGTAGTGTCAAGACTGCCTATTTGTTTCCCATATATTGCCACGATTGCCCATTTGTTACCCACGTATTGTCACGATTGCCCATTGCTGCCCATGTATTGTCATGAATGCCCAGTTGCTGCCCACATAGTGCCACAATTGTTAGCCTGTGTTTTAAAACGACTGCACATACATTACACAGGTATTGTTACAACTGCCCATTGTCATGCTATTCCATTTGTAGCACACATATTGTCAGCATTGTCTGTTTGTTGTCAGGTTTGCCCATTTGTTACACATGCCTGTTTGTTGCCCATGTATTGTCACAAATGTCCCTTTGCTTACTGTGTATCACTACAATTTCCCATTTGTTGCCCAAGTATTGTCAGAACTGTATATTTATGGCCAACATATTGTAACCATTGCCTGTTTGTTGCCCATGTATTGTCACCATTTTTTGTTTACTGTCACAATTGCCAGTGTATTAGCCACATGTTGCTTCAACTACTAGTTTGTCATGACCACCAGTGTGTTCCCCATGTATTGCCTCACTACTGTGAGAACCACGAGATTGGACAGGGCAGGCCAGACTTTGACTTTCCATCTCCGTCTCAAATCTCACCATATTTGTGCAAAACTAGACCTACTCTATAAAGTCCAAACCCTTTTCACATCCAAAAAACAGTCAAATCAGTATGGACCACATGATTTAGGCATGTGTCTGAATTGCGTATATGTAGAATGACACTGTATCAAAAGAAAGGCTTGCTCATAGGGGTCACAATATTTATATCTATGAATGCAGAGAATGGGAAAACATAGATGAGCACATCAAATCAGTTGTTTTATTGTTTGTTTTCATGATCAGTTTAGATTGCCTCAGTAAATGTTTGAAAACTGCCTCTGTGGGGCAAGAGTTATTTTATATAGAATAATTGGGTATAAGGAATCAATGGAATAATTAGTGTAAAGGGGAATTAATTATGCAAGCTTGACTGAGCAGTGCCACTGCCTCATTGCACATTGGCTTTTTCTCCCTTTTGTACAGTGCTGCAGAATATCTTGACACTTTATAAAAACAAGGACAATACTGTGAATGTCACCCGCTGAAAGGAGGGTTCACAATGAAACAGCTCTGTCACACACTGCTGTATAGTGCATTGGAGGTGGTCTCGCTCACTGGAATGCCAAGGAGCACCAAGGAAACACGGCAAGAGAAAAGTAGAAATATTTGACTGCATTGAAGTGTGGGCAGAATGCCATATAACTAGCCAGTCCTCTTCATTAGAAAACACATATACTTGATTCATTACAGAAAGCTCGTTCTGGCTACAGCAAAGCACAGAGTTACTAAATAATAGTGTATTATTTCTTACAAATGCTAGAAGAACATTACTGAGGGCTGCACAGACATGAAGCATGCTGCCACCCAGGAGCACCCGGCTGAGAATATATAACAATATAGGGCACTGTGTAGTATGCGCTGTAGTCTCCACAAATCAGATTAGAGGTTTTTTTTATGCATCTGCTCAAAAAAAAACCCCAAACATTAATTTGATTGCTACAGGTTACAGAGCATTCATGCCCATTATACCATGCTATTAAATAAGCTGTGGTGAGTGCTTGCCATCTGGACTGTAAATGAAGCTTCACAAGGTGCTTATCCAGCTATGCATGTAAAATAGAGCTGGATATGGTGTTTTTCAGAGAACCATGTGCCCTTTTGTTCACACACAGACAGACTAAAGTACAAAATGGACACCACAGGAAGGTTTGGACTGCGGAGACAAGTTCCCTAAAACCTCTGCCACTATTTATCTTACTCTCACAAGAAGCATAAAAAGCACAAGGGAGTACCACCAAAGTGGTAATTCATTGTGTATACCTCTAGCCCACACTTCTAGGGGGTTTACTACAAAGGGGCCTGAGAAAGATGTCCCTGGTAGCCATACAGCTCTTTGCCTAAGCTACATGGCTAACCACGAAAGGTTTCATGCTGTCCAATTACTCATCAAACTGGATTGGCAAAAAGGTTTCCTCTTAAATGATGTACATAAATCATAATGCATAAGGATTCCAAAACTGATTCATACTGCACCTGCACAGAAAAAAATGGGGCTTTCTTAAAGGGCAACCCAACTCAAAAAATTACAGATACAATAAGAACACCTATACTGCCATTTTAAAACACTTTAACCACCAAAATATTTGTAAGGTGATGCACATACTGTTGTGATCCATCCAATCCTGTTGTGCTAAAGGACTTTATAGTGTAAGGAATGTGTCAACAAATGTAACAGTCTCCACTTCTATAGACCCCATGATTTGGCTCCACCTTCTACCGCTTTTGGACTATTAATGAATATAACCTAAGTCAGGTGAGGTCAACGCCAGCCCTCCAGCTGTTGTGGAACTACAAGTCCCATGAGGCACTGCAAGACTTATAGTTACAGGCATGACTCCCAGAGCCATGTTGGGATTTGTAGTTAAAGCACAGCTGGAGGGCTGGAGTTGCCCACCGCTGACCTAAGTGTTGAGGGCTAGCCTCAGCTATCTCCTTCCCATAAGCTGCCCGTCTTTCTGTTTGGCCGGGAAGCCGGCTCCATGCTGTTTGGCTGGCTCCATGATGATTGGCTGGGAAACCCGCTTCTCGGCGAATCAGCATTGAGCCGGCCAAACAGTTAATGACCCGCCTCCCACCTTCCTGATTGGCCGGGAAGCTGGCTCCATGTTCCCTCGCGACACTGCCTGCCAGAGGGAATCTCTCTCTGACCAGAAGTTCCTGTATCGGGGAAGGTATCGGAGCATTTGGGTGAACTCGCCCAAATACTCGGTATCGGCAGGGATCGGTGCATCCCTACTTGACTTGAAATCTACTTATAAAAGGCTGGAGTGCAGTAACTGTTCCTACATTGTACAATGATTATGTTCATTTCTTTGGAAAACAATTATTCAAAAAAAAAAATATTGGCAATGCTGGTCAGCTTTACACCAATTGTCTGAAACATGTAAAGCATTACTTTGGTCTAGACTTATGCAGCAGTACAATGACCTTGATGTCTTCTCCCCTTATAATCTCAATTACTCTTGAAGTCTTTAGAACAAGACACTGGCTATTTTCAGTAAAAGCTGTCCCCATTCCTAGAGATGAAGGATTTCCTCTGCTATTCCATTTCTGAAGCTGCTTAATTACAGTCATATAAAAGTGAATACTGCTGATATATAAAAGCAGGAGAATATATCAACCTCTTTTCATTCTATAGAGCATTAGTGGTCAACTTGCTATATGGCGGTTACCTTGTTAACAACAGCAGGGTTTCACATTATATTCAGCACCTCTGTTACTATGAAACATTGTCAGGGACAGTAGATACACTGTAGAAGATGGCCACAGACTTTGGACATGCAATAGGAGAAGGTCAGACTGCAGACCTGCTGCAGGAGATTGTCAGAGACTGTGAAAATGTTAGAGAACGGGTCAACAAATCGAGGACATACTACATGAGACTGTTAGAGATCACTGTCATCACATTTCCCTTACCAAACCCTCCCAACTTTCTGTGAAGGTATAGCTATGGGTCTAACCTATCGATGTTTTTGTCACCACAACTTTTCCTTTATAACAATATAAAATGTTTGGTAGTTAACAGTAGATTTATTTATACTTCTGTGGCAGACTGCCCCTCTGTTGCAGTTCGTTACCTATGCAGTGGGGTGGCCCTATCTTCAGCCACCAAAACCTCCTGTTCAAAGTCACCAGCAGCAGTGGTAGTGTGGAGCCTGTGCCAGCGGCAGATCCACCCAGCCAACAGCCTACTAGAACGAATGCTTTATAATATGGACACGGGAGATACTTTATCTCTTTTTCTCTCATAAGGTGAACTGAACTCAGAAACCTGCCACCTAGTGGCCATTTGAAGAACTGCTTTATAGTTACATGTGTTCTGCTAAACCTGTTTCCTTCACTGTTTATGCTTCACTGTTTAGCACCAGAGCCAGGTCCCAGCTCCAACCGCTGCAACCCTGGTAGTTCTTGTGAAAATGCCAAGTATCGGCACTGGAATCTGAACATCCCTACTCGCAATGTATCTTAAGCTGCCAGTCAAAACGCGTGTCTTCATGTATGCACGTGCAACAAGTGCATAAACGTGCAATTAATCACACACTGAACACGGGCGTACAAATGCGCAAAAACAATGCCACCTAGGTGTGGACCCGGCCTTAGGATGAAATGTTGCTGTAGGTCAGTTAAGACAGCATTCAAGCCAGAAAGCTGCAGTCCTGTGTGCTGAGTCTACATTGAGAGTAACAACTCTCTGCTGTGGAGCAGCATGCAGCCCATAGGCTCCCGGCTGAGCACCTGAGTTTCAGGAGAAATTCTGAGATAAGATGATGAAGAAAATCTATGGAGGTCCTCTCTTTAAGATATACATTTCACACATTTTTACACATTGGGGTTGATTTACTAAAGGCAAATAGGCTATTCACGTTATTGCACTTTGCAGAGGAATTTTCCCCTAGTTTAGTACAGTGAAAATCAGAAGTAGGGGTTTCTATAGAATATTAATAATTAATTCACCTCCAAACTCATAGAACACCTTATCTACAGCCGCCTGAGCCGCCACCTCGCTGATAACAACCTTCTCGATCCCTTACTGTCCGGCTTTCGTTAAAATAGGAGGTTAGCATCATTCATTGTATGACAAGTGTGCCTTTAGGTAGTGTGATATTTGGGGAAGTAGCACAAATGGCGAGCGCTCAAAGACCAGTCTCAAAGCCATGTTAGCATAAACAGGACAGTCTTTTTATTTCTTTCATCAACAGAAAACAAAACTTCAACATACAGTCTGCTAATGTCTCAGCAAGTAGACAATGCCTCACCGACCAAAGATTGTTGTACATACTCCATGTGTAACTGGCTCGCTCAGCCTCCTCGGCTGTCTTCCCTGTGCCTCTAGCACACACAGCCACCCGGCTCCACTCTGGCTTCTAGGTGGAGTCCGTCTGACTCCTGGACACAACTTGTCCCTCTTCCCAGCTGGAGCCCTCGCGTGCCTGCAGCACACACCGACTCTCCCCTTAGCTCTGGTCTGAGCTCTTAATTAGGCTGCTCTCAGCCACCTGATCACCGGCAACATCTGACCTCAGGACTGGAGATTTCATCCCACCCTGAACTCTTAGAAAACTCCAGAGATCCAGATCCCAGCTACAATCCGGAAAAAACTGAAAGGCCAGTTTCTTCCCTGCAGGACTATTTGCATTCTGGAACCTGTCAGCCCCTCTGGCTGAGAGTCCTGGGTGACCGTGTTGCCAGCATACTCCGTGGCATTGCCACGCACTGCCACAGTGGTCAGACTTTGTGCTCAGTGGTTAGTAATTCTGCCTTGCAGCACTGTGGTCTCCAGTTTTAATCCAATTTCGGGTCAGGACACTATCTGCATTGAGTTTTCTTGTTCTTCCTATGCTTACCTAGGTTTCTTCTGGATACCCAGGTTTCCTCCCACACTATAAAGACATGCTGGTAGGTTCATTGGTCCTAGTATGTGTGCACGCACAATTGGGACTTTAGATTGAAAGCTTCTTGTGGGCAAGGACTGATGTGAATGAATAGTAGAGTACTGCATAAATTGACAGTGCTTCATGAATAAATAATAAGGAATATCACTTTCATGTTTCCTAAGCCCCCCATACATACAAGATGACCATTGCCTGTTTTCAGCTGAATTGGGCAACAATCTCATGTTTCAAGTCCTCCCCATTGCTGCTGGCCGGACACTTTTGAGCATAATGGTCCAGTTGAAAAAACCTGTCCTGACCACTATTTTACTTGCCTCTTTCTGCTTCTCCATTTAAAAAGGAAAATTGTAATATTCAATTTTAAAGCAATTGTAAACCTTAACCCCTTCACAACTGACGACGTACAGTGTACGTCACCAGCATCAGGGCTGTTTAAACAGACTCCCGGAGGCTTTTGCCAGAGTCCGTTGGGACTCTGTTTAAACTTGTAAAGCCGACTGTCGGATTTACAATAGAAGCGATTCTGGCGACTCAGCTGTCGCCAGATACCTTCTACAGTCCCGTGAAGGGGGCGCCCCGACACCCCCGCCGTGCTTCCCGGGCTCCGTTGCCCCTCCTACGGGATCGGCTTCTCTGGTGTCGGCGGGGAGCTGGGGAGGAGATCCTCCATTCGTCTATCCACCTCCCCGTTCTATGGGACCGGAAGCGATGTGGATTGCATCACTTCCGGTCCCATAGCTGTCAGTGCTGGGCTCCTGAAGCAGAGCTATAAGGCCCGGTTCACACCTGAGCGTTTTACCGCGCGTTCCTACACTCCGTAAAACGCGCGTCAGGTGAAAACCCATGTTTGCCTATGGGCATGGTTCTCACCTGTGCGTTTTACCGCGCGTACGATCGCGCGGTAAAATGCCATATGCCCAAAGAAGTACAGGAGCTTCTTTGGGACGTATTAACGCGCGTATCCCGCTGTATACAGCCGGATACCCCCCTCGGAAACTTGCTTCTGCCGCGCGTTTCTTTTACTGCAAATCGCGGTAAAACCGCGCGGCAAACACGAGTTTTTCAATACGATAAGGTGTGAACCCAGCGTTAGATATTGTAGTGCGATCTGCAATTCAATAGCTTATTTGGAGTGTAAAGGTGACACTGGAGTGTCGTGTTCGCCTACGCATGAAAATGATGAACGCGCTATACATGTTGGGTATCTCTAAATTGATGACCTGTGGGGGCTTTTAAAGCATCGCCCATTGACTTTTTGGGGTACTGAGGTTTGTCGCCGTTTCACGGACGCACACAATTTTTAACCTGGGCATGTTGGATATCTATTTACTCGTTGTAACTTCATATTTTATATTTTATTAAACAAATGGGTATTGAATTGTATTTGGGGGGAATAAAAGTAAATTTTCACTAAATTGTGGGGTTTGATAAGGAGTTGAGCTGATATTGTGCAACATAAACATTTGTAACTGCCACCATTTTATTCTATAGGGTCTTGGCTTTCAGAAAATAGATAATGTTTGGGGGTTTAAGTCATTTTCAGGCCTAAAATGTAGAATATAACATGGGTGCAAAAAAAATGAAAAAAAGGCCTCAGTCATGAAGGGGCTAACTGGATGGCAGATGTGCTCCATTGCTCAGAACCTACTACCTGATGGTACAGTGGTGGTTCATGCCTGTGCAATTAGTATCAGGGCAACCACTTGCAATCCCAATGAGGAAATCTGCCCAATGGGACACAGATGGCCAAAAAAACTGACATTGTTATAAACTGTGCTTACTCTATCCAAAACTAAAAGAAACGTTTTGGCTTCAGTTCTGCTTTAAGGCCCCATTCACATGGGGACTTTGCTGCATTCAGAGATTCCTGCCACAAGAACTTTCGGATTCCTGCAGCAGGAATCTCAGGTGACAAAGTGACAGTGCCTGCATCTGTAAGCGACAGTCTGCCTGTAATCATACATGGTAAAATTATTTGCAATTTGGGATAGGTAATTGTCTTTGGATGGCAGAATAGATGCGTTCAGTGACAGTCATCTATCCAAAACCGCATGTAATCGTACCATGTACGATTACATGTTGAGTGCCCCTGACAGATACGGCCACTGTCACCTGTCTTTAACTTCAATCAGTATAGCGGCTGCCTTCAAACGGCAACACATGAGATTCCTGCTGCAAGAATCTGCAGGTTCTTGTGTCAGGAATCCCCAAACGCAGCATGTGAATGCACCCTAAGACTGAATATTCAGATTTGTGCATAAGCCCAATAGTGATCGGTTCTGTTAAATCCCAATTCGTTTGTGTATGTCACAGAAAGCGTATGTAATTGTGATTTTGTCTAACTTATCTTTTTGTCTGCTTGCTGTGAAAATGAACATAAACAAGTTGATTGATGGAACTATTCTTTGTGTGTTTTCATGAACTGAGACACTTCCAGCAGCAAACTGGCACCAGTATACAAACAGACTACATGCCAAAAGGTCTAGTAACGCCCCACCCTCTTATCAATTCACAGTCTATCCAAACGTCTGGGTACTGCAGACTCGGTGTGCCATATTTGTGTAATCAGGAAATAACAGAGATTTCCTTGGCTGTCACAAAAGTACAAGTCAGTGGTTGAAATATACACATGTGGCTCTCCAAAGGGATACTTTGGTGTCATTTCGGAAACTGTGGGAACCATGGATTGAGTCATACCATCCTCCCTCCTTTGATATGGATTCCTTGATCCTCTGCTTGTACAGTAATGGAAGCTTTAAACAATAGATTCTCCCTACTATCCCACCCTTACTGATCCCCTTCCCATATCCCCCCCCCCCCAATATCCCTTTTCCCTGTCTGAAAACCAGTTGCTCCATATTTAGCCTCTGAACCTTACAGTTTTTACCACAATGTTCTTTGTACTCATGCTGTTTGCATGATATCCTTCTCGATTACCTTACTTGATTGTAACATTCTACTATGAAAGACTGATTTTGTATGCTCTCTTTGCTACACCATTGTATTCCACATTGAATGTGATAGTGATCATTTATCTTTGCGATTAAAACAAATAAAAACCTTTTGAACGAAATATACACATCTGATCGACATGCATTGTTATTCTGTATAAGTAACTAAACACAAAAAACTTCTTTGTTGTATTAAGGTAAATAATTTTTTCACCATTTTAGGTAAATGCAGTTTGTTTGTATGCTTGTTCCAGGTCAGTGATTAAAAAGTACTGGAGTCAGAAACAGCTAGTCAATTAGCATTTTCATTATAAGGTCAGCAACATAAGTTAAAGCTGGCCATACACTGCTCAAATTTGGACTGCAGATGTGCTGAAATTCAGGCAGTGTGCGGCACTCTCAGGACAAGCCCCCCCCATCCCTCTGAGTCGATCAACTTTTATTGAAGGAGCCAGTCCAAATATTGTCGGCTGTACAATGACTCCAGGCAATCAGCTGCAGTCACTGTTCATGTATTCTGACAGAGGCAGATGTCGGCTGTCAGAATAAAAATGCCACAATGGGAGATTCACCCATCCATGCTTTAGAATTTAGCGTGGATTGAGGAATCTGGTAGCACAAATCTCTCGGTACGAGTTTTCTTTTAACCAGACACCAATTGCTAGTTTACATGCAATCCCTAAACGATAAAATCAGTAGACTGAATTCCCTTGTAATGGGCATCTTTGTAGCTGACATGGCAGATTGTAACTTCACCCAAGAGCTTGTTGTCATTATTTGTCAAACTCTAAAATCACGTAAAACTGATATTTTAATTTCATATAGATATTGCTTGTCTGATTTTTTATATTACCTTCAGGTATAAGATATTCTTGACAAACTTCCTGTTCCAATTAGTTTCACTCCTTCTGCTGTTTTCTATAATGTTAACTAACACATTTCTAACCCTGGGTGGCTACACTCATTCATATTATAACAGCATGGTTGTCACACAACTTTATGTTATGGGGTTTAAATATGTTTTAATCATTGTTGAAAGTTTTCTACTTGAGTTATGTATATTTTGCATTACAAGTCCTGTTCTATGTACAGTATAAAAGTTATCCACTACATGAAAGTGCTAAATACTGTGACTAAGAATAGTGGGGATAGGAAACTAATAAACTGCAGTAATACTTACATTTGCGTAGTACTCCATCACTAGCAGGTATTCCAGACGTCCATCTGAAGACACCCTCTCATCAGCCACGATAAAATGGGCAATGTTATCATGTTCCAACAAAGGAGTGCGGTAAATACTCCTTTCATTGACAAAGTTCTGCCGGTTGTTGAAAGCAAAAACTTTCACAGCCACTGGACGCTCATCCAGGGATCCTTTGTACACAGACCCATAACGACCACGACCGATGAGCTAAGAATAAACCAAACCCCCCCCCAAACATAAGGTTAAAACTACAGTATAAATGACAGTATTCTGGGTCTAGAAAGTAAAACAGGTGTACATATATGGTGAAGAAGACATCAGAACAATTACCTCTACTTTTCAAAACCCAAGAATTGTGCTCTACACATCTGCTAGCCTGGGTGCTGGCTAAGCCTTTGCTTGCACGCCAACCTAAGCTTTCACTACCATGCACTGCTATCTCAAGAACCTCACTGCATCTTCAAGGTACTTCTAGGTAGAATTTGGCTACCTTGCCTCTGTTCCCTACTTTCTTAATCTACTTAATGCACTGTTTGTGCCATTCCTGTATTCTCTAACATCCTACTTTTTGTCTGCTTCACTTCCTGTAGTATCAGTTGTGCCAAAATCACCACAAAGTCTTCTGGCACAATGGGACGTATAATTGCTCCCTTTACAAACTTGATGAATTAGCTTTTTTGGTGCTGCACCTGAATGTCCCTGAAAATAATACTACTTATTAATGTATGGTAACTTTATTTTAATACTGGCCAAATGCTTTCCCTAGTCTCAGCAGTAATATTCTTCCTAGTATAGCATACCTGTGCTGCCTGCAAGCATGTACTCCTGCCCACATTTTCTGAAAAGCCTGAATGGACAGTCAGTACATCATCAGGTGCAGGAATTATGAGAGGGAACTGCCATATTGGCTATGGACTATCCTTGTCTGCCTCAAGGTGCATGCAGCAACCGAGTCTGCCAGTCTCTATAGCAGATCCCTGTCTACATTCTTGCTGTAAACCATTGCTGCTTCAAACCATAGCAGAGGTTTGGTGTGTTATGGAGTTTATTATTGCTGAGGTGGGCGGAATATGTTATATAGAGTATATTCGACATTGACAAAATAGCAGTGAGCACATTCTTTCTATAAATATGAGTTATTTAATATACTTTTCTTGGGACACCTACCACTATTTAATGGTGTTGAGTTACTCAACATCCCATCAATTGTAGCAGTAAACCACAACTTTCTCTTAGTTCCTTCATCTTCTTGGTACATAACATGAGTCAGAAAAACAGTCTTTTTGGACATAAATAAGGTCAAAGACAGTTCAGCTCATAGAAAACCTGCTACAACTAGATGAGTAAAAACGGGAAGAGTGGAGAGAAAGAAAATTAGCTTAGTTGGCCTAACAGCTAATAGAGAGACCGGCTGTTTCTATGAAAAGTGGTATTTCAAGAATTAGTTATTTGCAGTAGACACAAAATGTCAAAACTTGTATTAAGCCTGACTGACTAATCTTTGAAAGGCTACAGGTCCTCTTTAAAGGTGCCCATATATTCTTCGATCCCCATTCAGAAATCTTCCACGAATGGTCTTGCGATATTGATGGGACACCAACGATTTTTTTTACTGCAATCCCGTTCTAAATTTTCTCAAAGGGTGAGGTTGGAAAACTTTTTTCGAATCGAACAAAAATCGATGGATTAGTGGGGTTTTAGTACGAAAAAAATCGCAGCAAGGACACTGCACATGTTCAAACGAAAATCCGTTCTGTCGATCGACAAAATTCTGTGAGTTAGTATTGCTAACAAACGATTATCGAAGTCGACATTTGTCTGTGCTTGATGGGCTATTTAAGCTAGAATTGAACAAGGGTTCTTGGCAGCAACGAAAATTAGGGGTGAAGTGTAATTACATCAATATATAAAACTTATTATTACACTTATAATGATAGAACCTCTCTCTAGCTTCCCTAGCATGGATCGGCCATCTGTCTGTAACAACAATGGTATGCAATCAATTAATAAATTATTATTCTCTGCTAGTCCTGATTGCCACATTACAGATATCTGAAGTTAAATTACAAGTAACTTTTTACCTCTAATAACTTAAGGTTATCCAAATCCAAAGATGGTTCTGATGTTGCAGCTTCCATCATATTCATACTATGCAGACCTTGTTTGCGATCTTCTGGAAAAACACACAAATGAGGCACTTAAAATATTTTGCTTCAAAGCATTTGCTTCTGTTTTGTGATAAGCCCAATAAGTAATCCTGGCTATAGATGCAAAGACATGCAGATATGGTCAGAACCAGAAGATTTATTAGTTGTCTGACCAAACATTAAAGTGAAACTAATCTGGCACAAAACCTTTCTATGTTAATGTTTTCTGAGGTGCAGGTACCTTCTGGTGACTGCCACCACCGGTGTTAGTATTCAAAGCAATTCCTCTGTTCATGTGGACTCCCCTTGGATCCTAAACTGAGGCAATATGTGCTTCAGTTTCTGCCTAATTCACAATTAGGGCCTACTCCTCCCAGTGCTAATTCCTACCCCACTTATTTAACTGGTAAATGCCATAACCAGTGGGCAATAGTGAACCTGGCATTTAATGGAAAATGTAGGCTGTTCTAAAGGCACAAGAGATTATGCTGATTGTATAGGTATAGAATGTATTGTGGGCATATCCCAGCATTATGGATAAAATAAATAAACATTACAGGCTCATTTAAGTTATAATGAATTTAGCGTGTGCCATAATGATCATTATTTACAGCCATGTGATGGTTACTTCAGCTCTTATATTGAGAGGACTTTTTCATCTTTTCATATTGGGAATTGAAGGTCTGGAACATCAGAAGTATCAAGCCAATTTTGGCTTGTATGTTTCAGAGAACTGCAGCATGACCACTTACATCCCACCACTTACATTCTACTGTACCACTGTTTTAGCATGTGAGCACCAGCATATGGCCACCAGCTGACATCGGCCACTTAGAAAGAAGGGCATTTTGCACCAGAAGTTTCTCCTTCGTGACTTAAGTTCAAACCCTAACAACCTCTTACATGTCTTAAAGACCCTGAGCCTCCTCTGCAGCAGGGTAGCAAAGACATAACACGTTAAACATTAAATTATTCTGATGATATACAAGGGTGTATGTCAAAGTGTTACATACCTCCAAATATCCTATATCCAAAAAAGAAAAAAACAATAAGCACAGCCACGACAGACACAGACGCAAGGGCGATTATTATAGTCAATTCACGGTGCATCCAGCCTGTAGAACCTGAAAGAAAAAAAAGAAACATTACCCAACACTGGAATAAAACATGTAAATAAATTCAGGTTTAAATATGTATTTAAAGGAGAATTACAATTTAGACCTTAGTGCCAAAACTACCATTCCAAATTGAGAGTGTTGATAAGAAATATAAGATTAATTTCACTTCAAGGAACGCCCTATTTCTTACTGTATTTAACATGAAAATGAAAAAATAAGCCTTTTTAAAACTATCAGTGTCCCTCATTAGAGCAGTCACTACTACTGTCAAACATAAAAAAGGGCCTTGTCCTCATGTAGCAACTGTTAATATAAACTTGTAAATAAGGGTATTTACAAAAGTGCAGTAATAAATTGTTTGTAACATCCGCAAACACCCTTCACAGTACAACCAGAACATGGGGGAATCACAGGTTATTAGCTGCCAACTTCACTCAGTATAAGAGTATATATTTTGTTCTTTTCACTTTCCCTGAGACTGTTGGGCCCACTACTGTGCAAAAGCATTGAAGCCACATAAACATCTGTAGGCTGTCTGACATTTACTAATAGATGGACCTAAAGACACCCCTTCTAAATCTAAATAGAGAGCACAGCAGAAGCTGTTTGCCTTCAGGCTCGCTTTGTTTGATTGAAATCTTGCACAGAGTCATCGGTCCAGTGATGAGTAATTCACTTGTGTGGGCAAATTTCAGCTTAAGCTACAGAGCTTTGTGAACAGGCTGTTACCAATAAAGGAGATAGAGGGAAATGGGAAAAAAAAGTCCCCTAGCTCGACCTGCTGCCTAGATAGAAAACTACATAATATACAGTACATGTGCAATATTTCATATTTACTACAGTAAAAAAAAGAAAGTATAGATTTTTTTGTTATCTTTCATACCCTGACTATACTAAAAAAAACCAAAGTGCATACAAAAACCCAATATACATTCCCTTTAATGAGAAACCCAATATTAACAAACATCTATTTTACATCACAAGAAATTCATGACAACTGAAGAAATAAGATATACTTTAAACATGTGGCTGTGAAGTTGTACTATAGAATTAATTTTATCTTTCTGTAAAGAGCTATTCCAATCTAGAATAATATTTCCACAATATCAATAATTAAAACAATCCTTGAGACTGCACATTTGGTGCTGGAAGGAAAAACCCAAGCAGGGGCGATAAGGTGGGGAGACAATTATGTTGCATGAGGTACATACACATTGTAGCAGCACAGCCAAGTGCTCTTGGCTCCAGACTGTTTGGCTTTTCCCCATTCCAGAAATCCCAAATAATAACACAAAGAAAACAATCAGGAAGGAAATTGCTTAATGAGGAAATTTAGGTTATCAGATGGCTAGTTGAAGAAAGGTTACAGTTCTGTGCTGGCATCTGAAATCACATATTTGAGTGCCATATCCTAAGGGAAACAAAACAATGGTTTTGAACCTATATGCTACAGTATATATGCAGAATCTGTAGTTAATCATTGTTGACCATGCAGACTATAAAATAAAAAATTGGACAAGCAGTCTATAAAGTCTCAATCTATGAAGCCTTCTGAAAGTACTGATGAGAAAAGCTGACAGGCATTCTTCCAGGGGGTCAGATCATGCTTGCATGGCTGACCATACTCCTTCTCTGATGTTTATGGTCACCTTAAATTGTATGTCAAGGTAAAAAAAAATTACAGTACATGACTGCAATAGCTGCACATTTTCCCATTTGTTATCCCTTTGAACACGATGCAAGCACAGAAAAATACCTCTTGAGCTGCCAGAAATCCAGCATACTCCTAACTTCCTGTTTTTGCTGACAACATAGTGCTTTTGCTGCAATTAAATCTCACCCAGTGTTGTCAGCCCTGCCTGCTGGGCAACAGAACTCCACTTGTTTCCCACCTCTCTCTGTCCCACTCCACATGCATAAATCCATATCTTTCCCAGCAAAACAATGCTGTATTGACTCCCAAGAGCCTACTCACACACGGTGTGCAGGAAAATAGCCCTTGAAAGAAGTTTTACTGGGGCGTGCCTATGTCATTAGGAACTGACCTTCCAGCAACTACGACTGCAAGAATTTTACAAGCCTGATGATGAGGCAACAGGAAGAAATTAGAAGATGTTTCTTACTACAGAAACTAGGACATGCTGTAGAGAGGGGATACATTTGGGTAATGCTTAAACATAAATCATAAAACATCTGATAAACTGATCTCATATAATCTATTAATGTGAATAATCACATCAAAGGTGCCATAGTATATTCACTGTGTATATGTCCCAGTAGGTCCTGAGAGTGTACTAGTGCTTCAATGCACCCTTTTGTTTTCAATGACTGAGTTGCATGATACACAGAAGTGCTGTTAATATTACATATCTATAACAGACAATCAGAATATGTAGCCATTACCTCACAATACTAAAAAGGAATAATAGCAGAAACCTTGTTATTAACTTTCCTGGCAGACACGCATCAGAAGTTAAGACTGCAAAGTATAAAACAGTGTATTTATCTGCTCAGGAAACAGCAAATAAGAATATACAAAATGATAAAGCTAAAAAAACATTAACCCATGACCAGGGCCATATTTATACTTCCAGTCTCCAGGGCCAACTGCCCTGTGTGTCCTCTTCCTACTCCATTATCCATTAAAAAGGTGAGATGTCATAGAAACACAAGGCAGACTGAGACCTGGGGCAGAGAAGCTCAGAGAAAGTTTGCCCATTCTGCGTCAGTACATCTAGAACAGTAACTAAAAAAGTAGGGTAAACTGTCATCTTATTCTGGAAGCAGTTTGGTTCTAAGTGTGTAGACTGAAAGTGCATGAACTTGAGTATCACCAAAAAATGGCTGTTGGAAGGCCAACCAAGTTTAGTCTGAAGTCTCGGGAATAAATAAAAGGAAGCAGAATTGATCTTTTGATCCAAGATATTCTTTCATTCCTGAAGGGTACGCCAAGAACTGTGAATAATCTAAGGTTATTATTACACAATCAGGTTCTGGCAAATTGGTCCATTCTTGCCAACTTACATTCACAGAATGGTAAGTGAACTCGTATCCAGCCAATGCTAAACACAAGACACAAAGGTGTGCCTGCTTCCTACGGTGCAGGGAAAACTATCCAAACAGAACATGGGAAAACAGAAAGCACTTATCTAATTACCCCTAAACATTGATTGGTTGGGTGTTAGCTTATAACTACACATAGAACCATAAGTGTCATATCCTAGGCTGCCTGAAAGACTTCTTGGCAGCCATTGCAGTGCAAAGATTAAAAACATGTGTAACATCCACCAAAAATGTATAAACAGTGAGATACTAATGATCTTGTTTGGCCCACACAATAAAATGTAATAAATAATATATAATAATACATAATTATTTAAAACAAATGTACAAAATATAAATTTCCATCTCCAACCTTGGGTATTATGAAACTAACAGTTGGCATAAGATAAGGTACTGTAATGAACATTCAGGGCCTTTGTTCTGAATATTTTTTGTAGTTAATGGGTTCTCAAAAGAGCGCTAACTGTGTCTGTACAGGATATGTTTAAAAGGCCTAAAATGCTAGAAAAAAAATCTCTTTCTGTCTAAAAAGAGAAGAAAGTATTCAGATATAACTTTATGATAGAATATATAGAAATTTATGTTTACAGTGGGTCTATAATCAAATTATAATTCTACTCTGCCCTAACAATCCAGGTCTATTATAGTACTAAATAATAAAAAAGAGAGAATGAAATATTTGTCACCAAGTAAAAGGGCTCCCAAAAGTGCTGGTCACATGACCAAATAACAGAGCTTTGGTCCCTAGGGAGTTGATTTACTAAAGGCAAATAGGCTGTTCACTTTGCACGGGAATTTGCAATTGCAGGGGAGTTTTCCCTTAGCTTAGTGAATGTGGTGAAAATTCACTTTGCACAGAATACCCAATTTCCTTGCAAAATGAACAGCCTTTTTGCCATTAGTAAATCAACTCCTAGGTCTCCGTCTAAGGAGATGATCATTTGACGGAGAAGCCACCAATTGGCCAGCTATGCATGATCATAAGTCTTTCAAGCTTCTTCAGCACAGACGACGTCAACAATACTATGGTATTTGGTCAAGTCACCAACTGCCAAAGCAAACTCAAAGCGCCAGTATCCTCAGGAAATGCTAAGTGTTTCACTACCATTTTTTTTAGCCTTCAGGACTCTAATGGGCCAATGCTGGCAAAATAGATGGTTTATTGAATGGACAGTTCTGTTTTGATCTGTAGATGTATTGAATGCCTTACTGTTATTAGCACCCTATTAGCCATGTTGCTGTTTATCAACATATTTGCATTTTAATGAGGACAGCGTCCAGCTAAAAATAAATTGAAGCATTGGATATAAAATATGATACACATTTATCAGACTAATATATAAAAACCTTGATACTGGATTTTATGGTAAATAAGCAGTAATCAGTAGGAAAATCAGTGTAGCAGAATATAAAAATTTCAGTGTTACAATAATATAACAACTGAAAATGTTACAATAGTATAACAACTGAAAATAAATATAATAAATATAACTTCACGCTAAAGATAAGCATGGCTGTCCTTGTATACCAGAATAGGGTGAAATTAATGTACATACACAGCAGTTATATTAGGACAATTACCACCCAAACATATTTCCATAGGTGTTAAACATAAGATAACCATGACTTCTCCCCATCTGTTGTTCTCTTTAATTAGCTCAACATCTGAAAAAGTTCATCAGCTAAAACATGGCAGCAAAACTGCTGGAAGGATATCATGTATATACATGACAAATGCATGCTCATTCTGTTAGGAAAACCAGAAGATGCATGCATAAGATAGCTGCTTACCATGAATGGTTATGAATAGGGATGTTCAGATACCAAGTACCGTACTCGGTACAAGTACAAGTACATGTATCGATACTTTCGAGCTCCAAGACTAAACTAGAGAAAAATTCAAAAGTTAGGAGGCCGCTGTCATTTGTAAGGAGCACACGGAG